CCAGCAGCCCAACCAACATTAGCCTCTTTCCATTTCCCAACAGCCACTTTCACTGCCACCAACTTGGGACTTAAAGGTGCTTCCTCCTTTAAGCTGCAGCCTAACACACTCATTAGTTCTCTTCAGCAACCCCTGCTTCACCAAGAAGACAAATTCTCTCTCATTCATCCAGTCATTCAGACCGCAAGAAATGTCTTCAGTGTCGGCTAATGATATACAGGCCGGTCTCTGAGGGAAGGCCAATTCCTGTTTCCATATCTAAGTCCTATGGAAAAGGCTCCTTTCCTAAGCATTTAGTTAGATTCTTGATCCTCAAAGAATCGTCCCAGAGCCAGAAGCATGGGTATCACCGGGGAGCTTGTTAAAAATGCAAAATCTCAGGCCCTACCCCAGACCTAAGGCCAGAATCTGCATTTTAACAAGATTCCTCGAATATCTGTCTGCATAGTAGTTTGAAAAGCACTAGCCCAGGTTACCCTACCAAGCAGTGCTTTTCAATGATTCCCGGAATAACTAAATCCTCCTTAACCCACTTTATTACCGTCACCTTTGGTCATGTTCACTTTTCATCTTCCGGCTCTCCTTAGGCTCTGCTCCATCCTTCCCGTTGCCCATCACTCATGGCACTTACCTCCTATTACACAGGGGATGCCTGCCTGAGGGGAATGCTAATGTGCCAGGAGCCAGTCCATCCTTGCTGTTTCAAGGGACCTGGCATATATGGCATATTGTTCTTAATATGTTTGCTCACCTTCTTGGCGCTGTGTTTTAACCAAGGTCACCTCTCCGAGAAAGGTTGTTTCCCCAGGTAGGGATTTTCCCCTGAAGTTAGGGAGGGAATAAAACCTCTTAACTAAGTGCCTATGCTGGAGAGAACATGGCAAAAGATCCTGGACTGAACCTGACTACAGAAATTGGCAAGAGAACCCGGCTATAGAACCTGGCGACCGAACCTGGCTGGAGAACCTAAACCGAACCGGGCTGGAGAACCTAGTGTGAGAGCATGGCTACAGAACCTGGCTGGAGAACCTGGAGAACCTGGCTGGAGAACCTAGCAAGAGAACATGGACACAGTACTTGGCTGGAGAACTCGGCTAGAGATCCTGGCAAGGCTGCTGATCAACTGAACGCTGTCTCCGTGTCATTCCTTCTTTGCCAACTCCGTCCACACCTTTGGGGACCCCTGGACCTGCTGGGGCTGGACCCCAGCACTAATGGGTTCTGGGGGACAGCCTGAGCAGTGGCTTTAGGGTGAATGAGGAGATGAGGCTGCTCAAGCAGAAGGCTCATTCCAGGGAAGGCTCAGAAATAAGGCTGGAAAAGCAGGCAGGGAACTGATTAATAAGAGCCTATCTGAGGAATTGGACTTTATACTGTAGGTGATGGGAAAATTATGAAAAGGTTTTTGTTTTCACAGAGAAATGACATAGTAAAAGACATACTTTATTTAGCAAGGGACTATACTATAAGGTAGCCTGGAGAGAGACAAGGGGACAGGAAGGCTTGAAATACTACTACAGGGACAGACAGAGGCAAAGACCTGCGTAGGTGTGGCACCTGGAAGAGCGCATACATGAGAGAGATGTGGAAGGAGGACCATGTTGAAAGGTGGCTCATGAAACACATAGATTTATTCATCCTACCACCAAATGTTCATAAAGCACCTCGACAGTCCAGGCACTGTTCTAGTTGACAGAGATAACACAGTGACTAAGACAAAGAACCTGCCTTCCAGGAGCTCACAGTCTACCTGGAGAGATGAACAACAAATAAACGAATGAGTAAATAAGATAATTTCAGATACCAGTAAGATGGAAATACAACAGGTTCGTGATATGGAGGATCAGCTCATGGGTCAAATCCTGTTTTTTTGTACAGCCTTAAAAGCTAAGAAGGGTTTTTACATTTTCAATAGTTGATAAAAAACATCAAAAGAATATTTTTCGTGAGGTGTGAAAATTATATGAAACTCAATGTTCAGTGTTCATCAGTGAACTTATTGGAGCACTGTCACATCTTTAGACAGTTCTGTCAAGGAGATAACATTGAGCTAAGACTTAATTAAGCAGGGGCTAGCCATCCAAAGTTCTAGAGAGGGAGGAGTTAGCACAAAGGCCCTGAGGCAAGAATAAACTTCCCATGTTTGAGGGATGGAAAAAAGCTTCAAGAACAGGGGGCAGCCCTGCTGTGTGGCTCAGTGGTTGAGCATCAACCTCTAAAACAAGAGGTCACCTGCTCAATTCCTGGTAAGGGCACATGCCCAGGTTGCTGGCTAGATCCCTGGTGGGGGGGCTTGCAGGAGGTGGCCAATCAATGTTTCTATCTCTCTATCCCTCTCCCCTTCCTCTCTAAAATCAATAAAATAAAATATTAAAAATAAAAGAACAAGGGGTAGAGTGGCATGAAATGGGGATGGAGTAGGGCCAAGACCATCTGTGGAGGCAGGAGGAGGTGCCTCTTTCACATTTGCCCAGAGTGTGCCAGGGTAAGCCAAGAGCAGGGCTTTTTGAGACTTTCCTGGGCCTCAGCCACTCCTTCATCTAGAGCAGGGGTAGGGACTTTTGTGCCTGCCAACGGCCATCTTGATATTTATAACATCATTAGCGGGCCATACAAAATTATCACCTTAAAAATTAGCCTGCTATATTTGGTCAAACATTTAATTAACTCACCCCTAATGCCTTGGCAGGGCCAGACCAAATGATTTTGCGGGCCTAATACGGCCCATGAGCTGGACGTTCCCCACCCCTGATCTAGAGGCCCTGTTTTATCTCATATAAATTATCAAATGCTCCCACATTCATCATTAATATAATTAACATGTGAGTTGGATTGAATTGCTGCTGATTGGTTGACAGCCTGGCAGACACTGCTTTTAGGAGCAAGGGCCCTCCCTTTGCTTCCACGTGGTTTTGGACTAAAGGACAATGAGTGAAAGAGCAGGGAGGGGGGACACCTCCCACAGAAGCCAGACTTTAACACAAATACTTTCAGTTCTTTTGCCCACGTCAAGAAGTGGAAAGACTGTTTGAGAAAAGCCTTCTGCAAATAAATGAGAGGTATTATTCAATGAGCTAGAAATATTTTACTAAAGGAAAAAACGTACCGTACTTGAACACAGGCTACTTTTAGCCAGGCAATTTATTTTGAAACTTGGACAGCACACAGCATAATCCCATTTATAGAAAGACAGCTGTTGTGCATTTATTACTTACTAGTACCAAAGTAGTTTCTAAATAGATTAGAGAAACGAATGTAGAAAAGGTACTCCTTGGTTCTTTCATTAGATATCAGATAATCCATGTAAGATTAATCCATACTAATGCTTACTAGCATAATATCTGGCACCCAGTAAGGTCTCAGTAATGCTTGGCAAGGATAGGGGAGGAGTGGAAAGAGGGGAAGGAACCCCACACACCCCTCTCCCAATACAGAATGCAGTAGACCTCTTCTTAACCGCACGAAATGACCAGCCCCCAAAGGATGAAAGGCCCTTCTCCCTGGGAAGCGCACTACTGGTCTAAGTCCTCCCATATATCCCATCGCCCTACAGAGCCAAGGATTCTTTATGGGAATCCTTTTCTGCCTCAGCTTCCTTGATTCATTTGTTCTCTCTCTCTCTCTCTCTGAGGGCCAGCTTGCCATTCCATAAACTGAACCATGTGACCAAGTTCACAATGACTCGGACTTTGTGTCGGGGTTTTAAAATCTCCTTTGCTGCTCACAGGTGGAGCAAAATATTGAACAACTGTGGCTCAGCCTTGATACCTATAAAACACAGACACACTCAGGACGGGATGTGGTTCAAATGACCCTAAAAACATTGGGATTCTTCAAGAAGGATCGATGAAGACGGAAGGGACCATATGTTTGTGACCACTAAAAATACCTAAGCGGTAGGCAGTATGTGGGTGGGAAACTGTAACTGCTTTACAATATGGAATTCTGCCATGAGGGTTCATGGCAGGGCTCCTGAGGATTTTAAGACATTGTTTCAGAGCAAACTGAAAGAAAGCTAGGAACTAAACATAAGAAACCTATTCTAAAAGCAGTTACATAAGGAAATAATGTGTTGTAAGGAAGTTCAACCTATTTCAGGTAAGATTACAAAAATTTGCCGAGATAATTATGATGGATTCATAAAGAAAAAATTAAATATGTGGAGAGCACGTCCATATTGTTTTCAGGTTGAATGTCTAGAAGGATAATTATTACACCTTCCAACAAACTGCCCACTGGGATCACTGCCAGAAATTGAAAGCTGAGTGCTGACTCAAGAAGAAAGTTTCTTATGCCCTTATGGCAGATGGCAGGTCTGTGGAACAAGAACCTCAGATTTCAAGTAATACTTCAGTGGGCCTTTACAAGGAGACAGCTGTGTGGTGCATTCCTCCCCACATACCCAAAATTTGGAAAGCAGGCAAATCGTATTGTTCCCTGAGATATAGATGAGTAAAATCATCAAATAAGCACCAAAGCAAAGATATACAAACTGATTTCAATGAGAAAGAGTGGCTCCTGAACTGAAGTTAACACGCTGAAAGGTATCAGCATATTTAAAGAAAAACTGTTTCCATTGCAATGTAAGCTCCACACAAAATCCTGAGAGGCTTACTCTGGAATATTATTCAAAGCCCAATCCAAAGGAAAAGATGGCTTAGTCCCAGGATCCAATGGTCCAGAGCAGGGGTGGGCAAACTTTTTGACTCGAGGGCCACAATGGGTTCTTAAACTGGACCGGAGGGCCGGAACAAAAGCATGGATGGAGTGTTTGTGTGAACTAATATAAATTCAAAGTAAACATCATTTCATAAAAGGGTACGGTCTTTTTTTTTTTTAGTTTTATTCATTTCAAACGGGCCAGATCCGGCCCGCGGGCCGTAGTTTGCCCACGGCTGGTAGACTGATGCTTCTTAAAACCAGAGTCAGTTATTTCTCCACTGTGAAGATGAATTTTATCCACCAAAAACCCTTTGTTCTATTTCCATGGTTGCCAAGCAACCTCTGGACTAGAGTTTGGCTTCCCAGGTGTACCTGTCTACAAAGTACTGGAGCATAAGGCTTTTTATCTAAGTAACAACTGCATTTCTCAATGTAAATAAATAAATTAGCGGTGTGTCTGTTTGAGTATGAGTGCATGTGTGCGTGCATGAGTGTGTGTGTGTGTGTGTGTGTGTGTGTGTATGACAAACCTGTAAATATAAACCTGTCCCTAAGAGTTGAACCCCTTCTTGATGTGCTGATGAATACAATTTCCCTGGTCCTGCTGGTTGTGGCAACAGGATGAATTCACCCCAGTAGCAGACACTATCTTTGAGATCCCAACTGAACTTGGTGGCCTCCATTCAGATTCATAACATTGACCCACATCCCAGAACAGGGAACCAGAACAGTCATTCTGAAGGGATTTGCTGTCCTTGTGTCACATTCTTGCTGAATCCCTCTTCCTCCCGGAAGATCACATGTGAGTGAGTCATTCACCATTTTCCTTTGGTACATGGTTTCATTTTACAACCCACAGGCTGACAAATTTATACTTCTAGTCTGTGGATTTGTAGAGGGTGTGACTGGGCCCCACCAAAACACGAAGGCTTTCAAAACTGTCTATGTAATAG